ACATACAAAATTAAGGTAAACCGTAGTTATACCTGTTTTTAAGTGTAACATACATTATTGTGCTGATTGTTGGACATCGCTAAGACAGAAGTTGGCATTGCTATCTCGCACATACTGCTTCAAATTTGCTTATGCCAACTTCACTGGATTGAGTAAACAATATTTGACGAGCAAGCTATAAATACTCGTCTCAAGACTAAAGGAAAATATAGGATCAACCGCTTTATACAAAATTTCAACATTGTATGGCTTCACTGCTTCATTGATTTCACATCGTTTTTCAAAGTAATCTTAAGTAAGCCAATTTGGGCAGCGACAAAAGAAAATATTACTAATTTCTTTTCGGAGGAGACAAGAAGTACCATCAATCCATGTCGAAAACTGTGTGGAATTCATACCATGATCTTCGTATCACTCAAATATATCAGTTGATGATCGAATGAACTTGAGTTGCTCATCAGTGTAAAGTTAACGATTCGTTGTTCTGTAGCGAAACAAATCATACATAATTTAACGAAAGAAGATATCATACCTTCACCACTATTCTATCGAAGGTGACCGATACCTAACTCTCTATTGGTCCATAAAAAAGTTCTGTGTTCATTTTTATGACATCACGTCTCATCATTTAAAAAGATAAACGTTTCATTGTTTCTTAATTTATCAAGTACAGTAAAATAACGTGTACGAGCTGTCATGCAGAAAGAAGAATCGAAGAGCACAACCAATTTCGACGTTCTTTTGTATGCGAAAGTTGATTTCTTCATCCGAAACCACAAAGATGACTTCGAACTAATTAGAAAATCAGAATTGTTGTTCAAAATTCCAATAAAAATGTTATCTGTAGTCTATTAAGTTCACTGAGCTAACATCAAATGCATATGGTATCTATATCATCAAGCTATTTGATGGTTGGCGACAGACATGAGCATTGCTGTAGTGACATCTGATGCAACAGAAGCTAATGAGGACAATGATGCTGATCTCACACGTCGATTTCGAAGTTGATAAATAGCCCGAATTACAGCATCTTTTTCATCTTGTTTTTCTTGTTTTCGTTTCGTTTTTAGCTTCAGTACTTCGTATTCTTTTTTCAATATCTCCCTTTTTTGCTCTCCTATTCCTTTCTTTAGTTTTTCAATTAATGTCATTGACATACCAAGAATAGATTTGGTACGATCATTTATGTTGTTCAATGGATTTAAACAGCCACTCTTTTCACGCTTCACAAACTTGATGACATTGGACATTTCTTGCTTCGTATCTTGTGAGAAGTTATGATCTGTAGGCATCTTATCGATAACTGACCTTTGTCTCAATTGACTTACGGGTGATTCTTTCGAAAACGTACCACCATTACATCGACTTTAATCGAATGGAATGAAACTTTCAGCGTTTGTAGGGCTTGTAACTGTAAGCATAGCCATAGACTTAAAAAAAATTTAAACCTTACAAAGGGAGTCGAAGGGGGGGGGGNACAAAAACGAATGCTATTCAATAAACACCGTCTCAACAGAGACTATCTAAAAATGGGATTTTGGTATGACCTTAAATCGCTTAGAATGATATACAAAACTTTGTCTATATCATTTAAATCATCATAAAACCACTAAACCAATGTTCTTACATAGTTTTCAACATGTTTCAGTTGAATATTTAGAGTGGGCCGATTTACGTTCTTATACGCCCCTGTCCTTTACGGTTTTAAAATTCAGTCAGAGAAAAATGTACTTAATTACACTAAAACACAATTTTTTCATATGCCTTATATGTAAACATACGCGTGACCAATAACGGCTTTATGAATTAGCACTCTAAATAGTAGACAACGAGATATAGTTCACTGTATTTAGGCATTGATTAATGCTTGGTCGCCTAAGATGTAACACACCATTACTGATTCATTTCGAATTATTCACTTTATCTGTCATTCTAGAATATTCTATAGAAGTACTATAAATAGGCACATTTATGGTGCAGATAATATAAAGTGACCGAAAAAAAATAAAGTTGTAAAGAAACGATAATAATTTGTATTGTCTAGGGTATATCAAAATTATAGATCCCCTTTTATTTTGAAAACTTTTTCAACAAAGATTAATAGCTAGGTCAAATCTAAATAGTGATTTCGATAGCCCTTGAAATTCTCTATCGAATACAATATGGAACAAAATTTCAAAAGAAACTTCGTGAATAGAGTCTTCTAGAAAGTCGGTCCACTGGAATTTCAAGTCTTAGAGGAGTTTGAAAAAAATATTAAATATTGTCATCTAAAAGAACAACAAATTCTGAGCAAAATAAGAGGTTGTCCAGCTCTTCGCGATGTTTCTTTGCAAAGTTACTAGCACCAGAAAAGCCGAAAAAAACACGTTTTTTTTAGCTGATTTTTACCTGTTTTTTAATAATCATGCAATTTTTTGCATTTTATGATGCTGGTAACTTTGCAACAAAAAAGTCGTACAGAGCTGGGCGCTCCCTTATTTTGCTCTTTTAGACGACTATATTTAGCAATATTTTTGCCAACTCCTCTAAAACTTGAAATTCCAGTGGATCAGCTTTCTGGAAAACCCTCTTCATAAAATTTCTCTTGAAATTTTGGCCCATATTGTATTCGATAGAGAATTTCAAGGACTATCCAAATCACTATTTAGATTTAACCTAATTATTGGTCTTTGTTGAAAATTTTTGAAAATAAAAGAGGGCCTATAATTTTGCTATACCCTGTATATTCTCATACTAATAGAAGACTACAGCAGAGAACAGATTCATGCTATATGTGTAAAGATTGTAATGTTAGCCTACGCATGATTGATTGATTTAAAGAATTTTACAGTTTATTGCATGTTTAGTCTCTTTCTTTCTCATATATTTTCTTCCCACATGTTACGTAGTAGTTGTATTAGAAGTTTTGTATATTTGTTTTGTTTTTGTTATTCGATAATAAACTAGATATATTCCTTCTTAAAAAGTTGCACTCAATTGAGCACTTATGGTCTTTGATAATATCCAAAGAAATAAAGAATTTTGACAATGAAGTTTCATTTTTTTTCTAAAAACAACTCTGCCGTCAAAGGGTTTATACGAGTTTGTTATTACAATGCATCTGCTTGTATAATTGTAACGATGAAGCCTTGCTTATGTACATGATAAGTTTTCATGTTTTAATACATTTAATATCTTCTTATTGTTTTAGTTCAGTTAATTTGAACATGATATTTTTAACTTTTAAGTTAATTTTTTTTTGACAATTAAATATGCCCCACATACAATAGTCATAACAATATTATCAAATTATTATTAAAATCATCTTTTGATTCAGTACCTGAACTAACTTTTTTTGAGGATATTTCTCTATTATATAAGATTCAGATCTTATCATCACATTTGAATGTAATTTGAAGTTTCACATGTACGTAATGGCATTGACAAAAGTAGCTGCTTTCTCCTGAAACGCTACTATATCTTTATGATATTGAGCCGATGCTTTGGATACATACGTGAGAAAATTAACATGCTCTTCATCGATTCGAATGTACTGAAATTATGTTTAAAACATCATCTTCATCATGCGATCAAATTATTTTGGTCATGTTGACAAAAATATTTTCACTCAGTTTCGCAAGTTCAAGTCCACAGAAATTTTTAGTCTGAATTTAGTTGAAAATCTCGTTTAAATTAAGGAAAAAGTTTTTCTTAAATAACAAGTCTATGCAGAAAGCTTTAGATCATGACACTGAATGAAACTCGAGTTAATAGTACGACATCGGTTCACTATCTTAGGACCTGCTTACTACTTAGATCTTGACTAAATGTCATAGATTTTAGTAATAAATAAGTAGACATATGAGACTACATTTAACATCAGAAAACGATGTAATAGTATATGGAATAGAAAAATGACACACGAAAACTTTTCGTGTGTTTCTGTCAGGTGAGAATGTCTTTTTACAAGGAGAAAACGATATTGAAATGATAACTCCAGAAAATATATGAATCCATAGATGATGGATTCATACTTGCCATCACGATGTGGATAAAGAGAAGATGCTTTACCAAACATCTACACTCACACTCATGCCTATCATCATCTAGCAGGTTTAACCAATTGAGAAAAATTTCGCACCATATAATATAGTATACTGTGGTATATATATGTAAATCGACTTTTTGAGTAGCAATAAAATTCTTCAAGACAAGCAAGGTAGGCGTGCGTGCATGGGAACATGGGTGTTGGTTCCTGGGTGTGGAATATGAGGTAAAGAGAAGATACTCTACCACATACCCACCCGTACTTTCACACCGACAGGCACATTCATTTTGTCTGTCTTGCAGACGTCTATTGCTACTCACAAAGTTAGATTGTAATACGTACCACAGTATACCAAATTAAAATCAGACAGTGCGAAACTTTTTCTATTGGTTGTACCTTCTAGCTAATAATTATTTTTGTGACGCCATCTTTAATAACAAAGTCAACCTAAAAGTCCAAGCGACAGCAGCTAATGTGGCTTGTACAGACGGTTTGAGGGTGCCCGTAGTAACCGGAAAGCGTGATTTCGAGTGAAGTCTATCATTTTTCTAACAATTAAGAGATATTTATTTAGCGAGATATTTAAAAAAATCAAGCAAAAACACTAAATAGTAAGCTGCTAGTTTTCGACCGGTTATTGCGACATTATTACACATATCATTCTAGTATTACAGAGCATCAATGTAACTGCATATCAAAATTCAAGTTTCAAACCAAAAGGATGTACTTCACTATAAATAATTCATCCTACAGACTCAAGGTGCTTTTGAATTATTCAGTATTGTCATTTCTTTACTTATTACTCATCGATAAAAAGAAAAAAAAACGCTTTATATGAATCATTTTTTGCATATAAAAAAGCATATTTTTTCTTCTGTTTTTCCTTCACTTTGTCATTCAACATAGAAGTAAATCATACTTATTAGACTCTAACCTTTTTGTAGGTTTTCATTATTTAATAATCGGCAAGATGAATCGACTATTCGGGCAGTCAAAATCCAATGCTGTACCTAAACCAACATTAAATGACACAGCAGCAACACTTGATTTACGTGTTGAAACAATCAATAAACAGATAGCTACAATTGATCACGGTGAACTTATGAACATAATTTTGTCTTATGAGAATATTCATGTTTTTCTTTTTTGTAGAATTACAAGCTTATAATAAATTACCTCCAGCTAGAAAAGTAAAATTTTAACTTTTTAACTGCAAATTAATATTTTTCTCAAAATATATAGGCAAGTCAAAAATCTCGAGCATTGGCTCTTCTAAGTAAAAAGAAAATGTAAATAATTTAAATTATTTGACTTAGTTTTATATATAAATTAATTTAGGTATGAAAGACAACGTATGACAATAGAAGGTCAAACTGCTAATATTGGTGCTACTGCTTTTGCTGTTAGTAATATTGAAACACAAAAACAAATGGTAGAAAAAATTTTGATTATTATTTATATAATTTACAATTAATATTATTTTAGTATCATGGATTGAAAGATGCGAAAACCCAATTAGCTAAAGGTTATAAAGATTTGAAAGTTGAAAAAGTTGAGGTAAGTTGTTAAACAATTAATATATTTCTTCTAATCTATTCAATGGATTCTACTAATATTCAGATCTCAAAAAAAAAAAAGTAGCTGATAATGGTCTTTATTAGATATACTGAAGTTCTTGAGTGATTATGTATAACAAATAGACTAAATATTAAAGTGATATTCATAAAGTTTTGAAAATCTAACATAAATTTCTATAAAATATTCACACAAAAAACACAGTAAAACCTCTCTATGTGAGTATCTCATTAAAATTTTGCTGAATATAAGTCTCTCAACTATGAGCAACATATATTTTACTAGTCACATTCGGAACGAGAAACACTAATGTTATGTATATCGTGTTATGATAAACAATGAAGCAACACATAAGCAAAGGAGATGGTCTAATCGTAGATATTTTAAAAGAAAAAAAAAGAAATATTAGGCAACAACAAGAGTGCTTGGTTTAACAGCTTGTCTTTTTTTTGTGTGATTATGACCATTAACATTAAATCACATTCACATGTGTTGATTTTTCTCGGATTAAAAAAAATTGAATTAATAAATCGTTGGAAAGATGAAAAAGATCATCTTCTGTAACCGACAAGCGATTGCAATCGAATACTTATAGGTGAATAAAAAAGAAACTGAAAGTCTTCCAGTAATGAGCACTCATGACCGATTTCAATGATACCCACATTAGAAAGGTTTCACTGTATTGGTAATACATGTGTTATCAATTATCTTAGTACACCAATTGTCTTAGACCGAATAATCGATGCTATGTATTTAAAAATTGATGTATCATACATTTTTATGAATCTGTCGATTGTTTTGTTATTTCTTAGTAATATATGCTCATTTAATTTCTAACTTTAGTAGAACAACTAACCATTGGAATAAATAAATACATAATTAAATATGTTTTAATAGATTTTAGACATGCTGAGTTGAAAGTAAAAATCTCAAAGTAGTAAACAAGGTTTTTTTTTCAATTTTTATTCATTACACGACTCACCTGTAGGCTTTATCGCGTCTCCTTGTATGCTGATAACGGTTGCCCAGTGTCTTTATAACTATGTAAATTAGCACATGTCTGATATTGTGACTCTTTCTACCAGTCTTCTACATTCTCTAATGATACAAGAATGCAATCTGCATAGAAGATAGATTTTTTTTTTTGGTTTAGTACAGTTCCACATAGTTTCTTTTCGTTAGTGTTATATTATCGAATGTTTTCAATATAAAAACTACACAGATGTTAATTTGATTTACATATAAAATGAAATGATTGAACTTTAAGTGTCTACACAAAGCAGAAAAAGTTTGAAAAAAATGACTTGAACGTTTTTTTTTTTGCATAAAATGTTTCATCTATTCGCTTTTATTATAGTATCTATCTAACGGCTCTAAAAAAAAGACTATAAAATACTATTTTCACGCTATTTTGCTTCATCAAACTTAAGTTGATAGAGGTTCTTTGTTTACTACTCATTTTTGTTTTCAAATAATTTGACACTTTTCATGTATTGATAACATATATTTTGTCGGTGATGTGTAACAAAAAATACCCAACTCAAATGATTCCTAATCATTGTATTGTGTATTGTAATTGAAATGATGATTTTCTTTTAAATGATAATCGTTCGAAAAGAATAGTGAGCAATGTTATTAGAACGAGTTGTACGTGAATAAATAATCATGGTTATTGAGGTCAAATTCATATTGAAGTAAAAATTCGATTAAATCTATTCCTTAAAGTTTTTTCAATTCTCGAACGAAAACTAAGAACATAGTATCGATCAGCCATGTCATTGCACTACCGTTAATGGCGAGAAGCAGTATGTGAACTTGCTTTTAAACGTCAATCGACTTTTCATTACCTTACAAATTTCAACTTGCTTCGAATCACGAAATGTTGACTTGTTTTTGTTCGTTAGACAGTCTTAAGGTTTGCATAAACGAATAGGTCTCCACGAATATCTCACTTTATATTCAATTATATTACAATAATACTTATCAAAAGTACATTATCAAGTAATACTTTACATATTCTGTACTGAATTGTCAATCATGAGATTCAGAAGTTTATCCATTATTGTGAAACACGATTTTAAAGAAATTTTAAAGTATAGAGATGGAAATCTGCAGTCTACTAGCACACTTCATGGCATTTATAACTGTAATAAAATCACATATATGACAGACTTATCCACGGAACAAAAGTTTTCTGATAAACATTTCTAGTTGGAAAATCAAAACAGAAGCATACATTATAGAATCCTTTGATATATAATATACGCAGATCAATCTTGTTTCATATTTTAATCCCGTAGCGATTGCGCTAATAACTTTTTAACAATATACTTAGTTTTTCTTTTTGGACAAGAAAAAAAGTTTCATTCAAAATTATTTTTTTCGTTTTTTTTAGGCCCTTATGGATGATCTTGATGATCAAATTCTCGATCAAGATGAAATGAATGAAATGTTTAGTCGACCTATCGGTCAAGACTCATATATAGCTGATGCTGATCTTGAAAATGGTATTTAATAAAAAATTCTTTTTTTCTTTATTTATTAAATTCAAATCTCTTTACAGAATTAGCTGGTCTTGCATCAGAAGAATTTGATATGCAACCAAATGCAATATATAATGATTTACATGCACCTAGTGTTCCTGTTGAATCTATTGTTACTGGAAATAGAACAGGTGTAACAGCAAAAGTTAGTATTTTTCATCTTCTTCTTCTTACTTTTAATATTTATTTTTAATATTTCTATTAGAATGATATGATGTTTGATGAATTTGGTTTACCAAAAGCTCCAGTAACCGGAATGAGAAATTAAAAATAAACAAACAAACATTTTATTTTTATTTTTACAAATAATATAATTAAATAATTAAAAACATTTTTTCCAACATGACATTTTTCCGACAATAGACCATTTAATATATCGACATTTTCCTGAACAACATTGATAATCAGCTGAACAAAAAGTATTTGTTAAACGACAAGCTTCTTGACTTGAGATAGCTAAATGTGTACTTGGACCACCATAAGAATAATAATATGAAGAAGACATTGGAGCTGTAAATAATAATAGATGATCAAGATCACGAATATCACGTGCTAATTGATCAAAATGAAAACGACGAGATTGAATAAATGTTGGAGATTTTTCACGATAACGTGATAATTTATACAGTTCTTGAGAATATTCTTTTGCTGAATTAACTCGTGATTCTAATGGATTGACATTCCGAGTTGACGATCGTATACGACCGGAAGATTGACCATGAAGTTGACGAGCTATACAAAAAAAAAGTATTGTCTGATGATGAAACTTTTGATAAATTGAATTATTTACCTGCATTAGGTTGCCCTTGATTTATTAATATGATAAAGACAGTACCGAATAGAATTAATCGTATCATCTAATGTTCTTTTTTTTTCAACAAACACAATACCTATTGAATGAAACTGCTTTTTTGTGCTTCTCTATAGCACCTAACATTCACAGAATATACGAGGTCAAAACTTTTACTGCCGACATGATTAAGAATAGGTCATCTCTTTTTATTTTCTCTGTCTTGTTGTTGAATTTTTTTCCTTCTCTTATTTCGAATGATTAACAGAGAGATGAACTGTAAGAGAGAAACGACAAAAAATCTTTTTTTTTGAAAAAACAAAAACAAACTAATAATTAGTCTAACTATAATATATCTAAATTTATGAATGTATTGAAGAGAAAACAAAATCATTTGTTTAAATGTTGAAATAATTTTCTCATCAAAAATTGAATTATTTCAAAATACGAATTATAAATTTCAAATAAATCTATACGTTAAGTATCGTATGAAGTTTTGTTTCCATTAAATCTGTCTTTTTGTACTACTCGTAATTTTTTTATTATTAAAGTTGTTAAGGCAAATATATTGAATACAGAGAGCGAATAACATGTAATTCACAATTGCATATCATAATGTATTTATACTTTACTATCAAGGTTTACAACTAGCATTTCCATGCGACAAAGCTATAAAAACGAAATTTGGGAAGACGTAAAAACAAACAACTTTTTTTTTTCACTATATATAAAGTACCTGTGCGTTAGAAATATTGATAACTTTTGTATTTTTCTTGCTATTCTTTAGTAAACAAGTTATTTTCTGGTGTATTAAATATAATTATGAATCATTGTAATTATGTATATTAGGATCAAATCGAGGATAAATCCTAGTGTAGTGATACTTTCCAGAGATCGAAACTGAATCGAATGGAGATGTCTTTATTCGGGTTATTCTTTAGATCCCAAGTCCATCGGGAAAAAAAAGCCGATGGAAACGATCAAAAAGAAAAAAGAAGTTGGAATATATTCAATCACAGCTTGATGATTACGAACAAAATATAGCAAAACTAACTATTAATTATCGTATTCCAGTCTTTTGTTGAACAAAAAACAGTTGAGCACGATAAAGTCGAGAAAAGATCAAGCAAAAATTGTTTGCTATGAAAAATAATCATAAAATTTGAAACAAGAAAACAAAGTCGCGAACTTTCACGTGTAAATATATAATTGACACTAATGAAATTGGTTTAACTATGTTACATGACTCAAATAAGTTGCACAGATATAAAACAAAACAAAAATAAGGATTTTAGTAGTTATAATGAATTTTGTCCAACATTTATAAACAAAGTGCTATTCACAGATGTGTCATCAAATGACGTAGATACATATTGTAATTTAAATATTCTGTGATAGGTTGAGCACTTTTTCAATAGCTGTTTATTAACAAACTTATGGAAATCTTTTGGTATGACAAGCTTAATTATAATTTTTTTGTCTAATTTTCGTAGCCTAATTTGATAGATCCACTCAATGTACGAAACTTCGATCTTTCAAATTTCAGTTATATCATTGTTCTTGGATTTATTAATATCGAATTTTTATGAATAATGTTACTGAATAAAGTCTACTTTCTATTTTAAATCAATAAATAATCTTTGAATATGTATGAATAGATCAAGTACAGAGAAGATAACTACTAGAACAAGGAAATAGAAAAATAAATGGTTTTCTCAGAGAGAAGAACATTAGCAAGTAGTATGAAATATGCACGAAAATCAGACTATCTACTTACGAAACTCACAATATGTTTTTTAGAAGGAAATCATATTGCGTGCAAGTTGTAAGTCGAACTTTGATGACAGACGTCTGACTCCTTTTCAAAGTTCTTTAGTAACGAACTAAGGCACTGAATGGTAGAGCCCGTCGAGTCCGGGTAGGGTTCGGATCTAAGGCAAGTTTTGATGCATAGAAGAATATTTTTCGAAGTTTTACTGATCTTCAATTTTCTCTGAAGAACTAGCTACTTTTGGTTGTTAGTGTTGAAAATAAATTGTTTGTGTTCAATATAACACGTTGCTTTGGTCTCAGACACAGACGAGATCAGGTCCGGGTAAGGTTCGGGTTCAAAATTTCTCCATTTACCGGATCCGGTTCTGGAATTTTTTTTAAAGACCGGTTACGGATCCAAGAAAAGTTCAACAAAGCGGACCCGAGTACGGGTCCGGGTCCAAAAATGTTGTACCCGACGGGCTCTACTGAATGGTATTAGTTACTAGAGATTTTTCATTTTACGTATTCTCTATTCAATCCTTACACTTCATGGTTTAATGTTTTAGAAGATAGATGTAACATCAACAGTTTAATTTTGAATAGCATTCTTCTGTTCGTGTCTAACACAAAATGTCTTTCTAATAGTTCATACGATTGCAAGTTCAGATTTAGTAGACACTTCAATCATATATTGACTACTCTATTTGTTGTTCGCTACAGCAAACAATGCTGAACCATGACTAAGGTATAAGAATTTTGTATTCAAGCTTTATTTCTATGTACGTAGAAAAAAAAAGAACTTTTGTCTACTTCGATACGAAACAACAAGGAGACCATCATTCCGACACACTATTGACGAATCTTCTAATAGAGCCTATCAGTTTTCCAAATGCGTCATGACGCGTGCGC